ACGGAGGCCCCGGAGCCTTAACCTCTGGGCTTCAAGGCTTCGCCGCCGCCTCCTCCTCCTCCTCCTTTGGCTCCTGATGGGAGAGACCGTCTTTCCGCCTCTCGGCTTCTCCTCTGTATGCTTCCCCCCACCCCTCCTTGCAATAATGCAATTACTTAGCCTTCTGAGGAGCTGTCAGTGTTGGTAAACTCCAGCTGCTAAATAGCATTACACACAGATCTCTCCTTAAAACCTTCTACAGTTTATTAATAGTTTATTGATCCCTAAGCCCCGTCGCTGGTGAGAAAGAAGCTCCGTTCTGATCTTCCCTCCTCCCCTCGCCCCGTTATCTGAATACTGACTAACCAGGAGGCAGATCGATGGCGGGTCAATTCCCAGGAGGGGGGAGAGAGAGAGAGGGAGAGGGCTTCCCCTCCTTCTTTAATCCAGTTTAAGGAAGAGCGGCTGCTGGAGGGATAATGTCATATGAAGGTCTGAGAGGTTCTTGGGATGAGGTCATCAGGGCCACCTCACCCTCCCTCCCCAAAACATCTGGACACGTCTCCGTGGCGACTTCGTTTGGGCTTCTAAGAAGCTTTGACGTCAATGACCTTCTGTTGTAGCTCAGGGTTGAATTTTGGGGGGTCCTTGATGCTCCTGAGCTTGGTTGTGAACCAAGGACCTCCTTTCCCATCAAGGACCCCGCATCCTTCTGTGCCGGGTTCTCTGAAGGGCCCCACTTCCTTCTGTGCCGGGTTCTTTGAGCGGTCCCGCTTCCTTCTGTGCTGGGTTCTCTGAAGGGCCCCACTTCCTTCTGTGCCGGGTTCTCTCAAGGGCCCCACTTCCTTCTCTGCCGGGTTCTCTGAAGGGCCCCGCTTCCTTCTGTGCCGAGTTCTCTGAAGGACCAAGGGTGTCCTCCTTAATTCAAACCATGTCGACAATCACCGATTCTTGGCTCTCTGTGGCCCTAGCAGTTGAGTTGGGTTTCTTTGAAGGCGTTGCTGAAGAGAGAGAAGACACGTCAGGCGTCCAGTCCTTCTAAGATACCTGTCCCATTTCCTCGGATAGTTCATTTCCCTTATCTCCGGCCCCCACCCATGTTGGTCTAAGACCCTCAAGAATCTCCCATTTCTCCTTGTTGGGTCCACATCTTGGACCCAACATCAAGGTGGACTTGGTCCCTAGGGAGGGAGGGAGGGAGGAAGGAAGGAAGGAATAAGAAAGACAATGAGAGAAGAATGGAATGGAAGGAAGGAAAGGAAGGAAGAAAGAAATGAAGACAACGAGAGAAGGAACGAATAAGGAAGACAATGAGAGAAGAATGGAATGGAATGAAGGAAGAAATAAGAAGACAATGAGAGAAGAATGGAAGGAAGGAAGGAAAGGAAGGAAGAAAGAAATGAAGACAATGAGGGAAGGAAGGAAGGAAGGAAGGAGGAAGGAAGGAGAAATAAGGATGACAATGAGAGAAGAATGGAAAGGAAGGAACGAAGGAACGAACGAATCTTGAGCCAGTCAGGATCAAACTATTAGCAGTGGACAGAGCTTGCAATATTACATTCTAACCACAAGGAAGGGAGGGAGGGAGGGAGGAAGGAAGATAGCAATAGCACTTAGACTTATATACCGCTTCACAATTGCTTTTACAGCCCTCTCTAAGTGGTTTACGGAGTCAGCCTCTTGCCCCCAACCATCTGGGCCCTCATTTTACCAACCTCAGAAGGATGGAAGGCTGAGTCAACCTTGAGCAGGTCAGGATCAAACTCATGGCTGTGGGCAGAGCTTGCAATACTGCATTCTTACCACAAGGGAGGGAGGGAGGGAGGAAGGAAGAAAGGAAGGAAGGAGATAGCAATAGCACTTAGACTTATATACCGCTTTACAGCCCTCTCTAAGCGGTTTACAGAGTCAGCCTCTTGCCCCCAACAATCTGGGTCTTCATTTGACCCACCTCGGAAGGACGGAAGGCTGAGTCCACCTTGAGCCTGGTGAGATTTGAACTGCCAAATTGCTGGCCGCCGGCAGTCAGCAGAAGTAGCCTGCAGTACCGCACTCTAACCACTTGCGCCACCGCGGCTCATAACGGTCACAAGTCGAGGATTATCTGTCGATCCATACTCTTGGCTCGATTCTTACCTTCCTTCTCCCGTCTTTCGTTCCCCGATTGATCAGCGAAGGCAGACAGGTAGATTTTTTTTCCCCGTCCTTTGTCCCCAGTTAACCGGTCTGCTTAATTTTTTTTTATTACCTGGATGCTTGCCCGGGGGCAGCTAATTCTCTTCTCCCCCCACATCAAGATTGAGCTCCTGAGCTTGTATGTTTTAAAAAAGATGAGCCTCGTGAGAGTTAATTTCCGAGACCCCGCTCTCCTGGCCCCCTTCTCTCCGCTTCATCAGACGTCGGGATCAATTAAAGGGAGATTATAAACAGATTGAGGGAATTTATTCTTCTCTGTCCCGCAAGGATTTAATTTACCTGCCGAGATGGCGCCCGAGCACGGAAGGCTCTATGTGGGCCTTGAATGGAAAGCACATCGTGGTTTAGAGACCCACGGGGTCTCACTTGTGTGGAGCTCAAGTTTCTAGTCCCTGTTTCCCCCACTCACCCCCCCAAAAAATGTTCCTCCTGTTTGCTTCTTTCTCCTTATTTATTTGTTTATTTTTCTCTCTCGTTTCTTCCTACTGATTTTTCTTCATCCTGCTTAAGCTCACCCCAAGAAATACCACCCAGTTTCATCATTTTTTGGGGGGGGGTGAGATGGCCCTCTACACCTGGCTGTAATTGGAGCTCTCTGTTCACCTGCCCACCCCCAATTTCTCCTCTTTGGGTCTCCTGTTTTTTAAACTCTGCACCGCAAGCCCTCCACACTTGATTCCTTCCTTCCTTCCTCCCTCCCTCCCTCCCTCCCTCCCTCATCCTTAATTCCTTGCTCAATGTTTTTCTTTCTTTCTTTCTTTCTTTCTTTCTTTCTTTCTTTCTTTCTTTCTTTCTTTCTTTCTTTCTTTCTCCTTCCCTCACTCCCTCTTATCCCTCCATTCCTGCCTCTTATCCTTGATTCTTAGCTCAATGTTTTTTTCCTTTCTTCCTTTCTTTTTTTCTTTCCTTCCTCTCTTTTTTCTTCTTTCTTTATTCTTTCTCCTCCCTCCCTCCCTCTTATCCCTCCATTCCTGCCTCTTATCCTTGATTCTTAGCTCAATGTTTTTCTTCCTTTCTTTTTTCTTTCCTTCCTCTCTTTTTTCTTCTTTCTTTCTTATTTTTTCTCCTCCCTCCCTCCCTCCCTCTTATCTCTCCATTCCTGCCTCTCATCCTTGATTCCTTGTTCAATGTTTTCTTTCTTTCTTTCTTTCTTATTCTTTCTCCTTCCTTCCTTCTTCCCTCCCTCCCTCCCTCCCTCTTATCCCTCCTCTTCCTACCTTGCTTCCTTTTTTTTCTTTCTTTCTCGTCCTCCTTGGAGATTCATTTTGAAGTTCTTCTTCCAGATTGGGTTTTGCAAGCACGGTGAAATCGCTTTGATTTTCTTTTGCTTTCTTCTCCCCAGAGTCCTTTTCTGTACCCAACTCCCTCCCCCTTCTTCTTTTAGACCTGAGATTTTTATATATATATTTTTGGGGGGGTGTTAAATTTGCAGTTGTGTCAGTAGATGAATTTCACAGCCAGTCGAAAAATGTCAAGGGCCAGAGCAGAGCTGAAGAGAGATGCTCCCAACACTTAATTTAATCCAGCGTGCACAAAAAAAGATTTTCTTTTTTCTTTTTATCTTCAGCTCTTCGGTCCGTATTCACCCCTCCTTCCCCTTCCATTCAGAAAATCACCTTAGATCAAGGTTTGCACGAGGATCAATATTATTTCTCCACATTTTCTGGAAGTAAAAAAATTGCATTTCCAATACCATCTCGCGAACGATGCAGCGCAGGCTCTCCTTTTCGACGTGGGAGTTGAGGGAAAAAAATAAATAAATAATCACACTCTTTCTCTGCATGTTCGGAGTGAAAATAATAATCAATCTGAAGACTTGCTTAGGTTGAATTGACTGTCTGCAATTAAAACCGAGAATCCTTTCAGGCCGGGCATTGAAGTAAAATTTGGATTTGTGCCGGGGTGGGTTTCAACAATTTTAGCAAGGGGTTCTCTGCCTGGTTGCTAGGTGGGCGTGGCCTTGGTGGGCGTGGCCTAGTCGGCCTCATACACCATGGGGGGAGTGCGTTTCTGCCCTCCCCAGGCTCCGGAGGCTTTTCTTGAGCCTCCGGGAGGGCGGAAAACGGCCTCCCCAGGCTCCGGAGGCTGGAAATGAGCCCGTTTCTGGCCTTCCTGAACTACCGGTAGACCCGTTTTTCACCCTCCCTGAGCCTCCGCGCGCCCCCTGCATTTACCTGCATCCAAAACGGGACGCGTGGGGACACCTGGGAAGGGAGGGGCAGGGTGGGTGGGGCCAGCCAGGAGTGGGATTTGGGGGTTCTCCGAACTACACAGAATCTTAGCTAGAGGTTCTCTCGAACCCCCAGCATCCCATCCCTGGATTTTGTGCAGAAACAGCCCAGTCTGTTTACAGTTCTCATCTTACGACCGGGGTTGGAACCAAAGTTTCAACTCCTGAACAATTGGCAATTGGCTAAGCAAGTCGCTCTCGATTTTACGTCCTTTGGTTCCATGGTTGTTAAACAAATCACTGTGGTTGTTAAGCGAATTTGGCTTCTCCAGTTGACTTCCCTTGTCAGAAGCCAGCTGGGAAAGTCACAGAGGGTGACCCCGGGATGTTGCAACGGTCATAAATATGAGTCAACTGCCAAGCGCCCGGATTTTGATCATGTGACCGTGTGCGATGCCGCCGTCGCCGTCGTAAGTGCGAGGACTGGTTGTAAATTTGCTTTTTTTTTTTCTTCAGTGCCGCTGTAACTTCAAACGGTCACTAAATGAACGGTCAGACGTAGAGGAGGGTTAGGAAAATCAGCATAATGTTCTACCATGTAATTTTAAACGCGTCACAGCGTCCCTCACTCTCTGTTTCTCTCTTGTCGTTCCAGGCTTCCCGAAGTCCGAATTTCGGACAACGGACCGTATGAATGTCACGTGGGGATTTACGATCGGGCGACTCGTGAGAAAGTGGTCCTGGCCTCGGGCAACATCTTTCTCAACGTAATGTGTAAGTAATCGCCATCTTCCCCTTTATAAGCGACTGCGGTGATTAGATGGGAATTCATCATATAACCCCATGTAGCCTCTGTTTCCCCCTGCCCCTCAAAAAAATATTCCTCCTTTTTGCTTCTTTTGCCTTATTTTTTCCTCTCTCTCTCTCTCATTTCTTCTTACTGGTTTTTTCTTCCTCCTGCTTAAGCTCACCCCAAGAAAAACCACCCAGTTTCATCCTTTTGGGGGGTGAGATGGCCCTCCACCTGGCAGTAATTGGAGCTCTCCGTTCATCTGCCCACCCGCAATTTCTCCTCTCTGGGACTCCTATTTTCTAAACTCTGCACAGCAAGCCCTCCACACTTTCTTTCTTTCTTTCTTTCTTTCTTTCTTTCTTTCTTTCTTTCTTTCTTTCTTTCTTTCTTTCTTTTTCTTTCTTTCCTTTTTTTCTTTCTTTCTTTCTCTTTCTTCCTTTCTTTCTTTCTTTTCTTTCTTTCTTTCTCTTCCTTTCTTCCTTCCTTCCTTCCTTCGCTCCTTCCTCTTTCTTTCTTTCTTTCTCTCTCTCTCCCTCCCTTCCCCTTTCTCTCTTCCTTTCCTTTCCTTTCTTTTCCTTTCCTTTCCTTCCTTCCTTCCTTTCTTTCTTCCTCCCTCATTCTTCCTTCCCTCCCTTCTTCCTTCCCCCTCCCTCCCTCCCTCTCCCTCCCTCCTTCTCTTCTTTCTTTCTTTCTTTCTTTCTTTCTTTCTTTCTTTCTTTCTTTCTTTCTTTCTCCCTCTTTCCCTCCGTCCCTCCCTCTTCCTTCCTTCCTTCCTTCCTTCCTTCCTTCCTTCCTTCCTTCCTGCCTGCCTGCCTGCCTGCCTGCCTCCCTTCTTTCCTTTCCTTTCCTTTCCTTTCCTTTCCTTTCCTTTCCTTTCCTTTCCTTTCCTTTCCTTTCCTTTCCTTTCCTTTCCTTTCCTTTCCTTCCTGCCTGTCTCCCTTCCTTCCTTCCATCCTTCCTTGGACCTTGGGATCCTTGGTGCTCTCTGAGCTTGGTGGTTTTCCTGCAGACGTTTCATGACCCAACTAGATAACGTCATCAGTGGTGATAATGTTACTGAACTCGGTAATGCAACTTCTGCAAGAAAGAAAGGGGGGAAAAAAAAACTCCCACCACCCAGATTTCTATATGTAGAGTTTTCCATCAAGACCTGCTGGTAAATCCTGCTGATTCTTTCTTGATATCACCCAGATTGTTTTACCTCCCACAGCTTCCCCGTTGGTTGTCCCTCCTCTAAAACCTGGTTCCTGTAATGCATCACAATATCTTTTCAAGCGTAGCCACTTATCTATAAGAGCTTGTCTGGGTTATTATGCCAGGAGGTGATCCGGACACTTTGACTTCCCTCCTTCCATGAATTTTAGAACAGGAGTGAAAAAAAAGGGGAAGGAAATATTCCCCCCCCCCAGTCTACTCAAAAAAAACCCCCAAAACCTGCATTTATTTCTTAGACTGAATCACTCAATAACTCACCGCTAGCCTGCAAAGACCCTCTGTTACGAAGGTTCGCAGTAGCCTTTTTTTCCCCTCCCCTTATTTTTAAAAAATAATTTATACCCAGAGGGCAAGCCGGCTGGCGGGCTGCTGGACGCATACATATTGAGCTGTTTGTTGTATCACTGCTACAGTTTTTTCATCATGGCACGTTTTTTTCCCCCTTCCCCAATGCTCACTTTGTGATTTCTGTTTCAAAAATAGATCCTCACTCTTTTTTCGTGTGTTTGACCAAAGACTAGGGTTTTTGCCAGTGGTGAAATCCAATTTTTTTTTTAACTACTGGTTCTGTGGGCGTGGCTTGGTGGGTGTGGTGTGGTTAGGTGGGTGTGGCAGGGGAGGATACTGCAAAATCTCCATTCCCACCCCACTCCAAGGGAAGGATACTGCAAAATCCCCATTCCCACCCCACTCCAGGGGAAGGATACTGCAAAATCCCCATTCCCACCCCACTCCAGCGGAAGGATACTGCAAAATCCCATTCCGTCCCCACTCCTGAGGGAAGGATACTGCAAAATCCCCATTCCCTCCCCACTCCTGAGGGAAGGATACTGCAAAATCCCCATTCCCACCCCACTCCAGGGGAAGGATACTGCAAAATCCCCATTCCGTCCCCACTCCTGAGGGAAGGATACTGCAAAATCCCCATTCCCTCCCCACTCCTGAGGGAAGGATACTGCAAAATCTCCATTCCCACCCCACTCCAGGGGAAGGATACTATAAAATCTCCATTCCCTCCCCACTCCAGGGAAAGGATACTGCAAAATCCCCATTCCCACCCCACTCCAGGGGAAGGATACTATAAAATCTCCATTCCCACCCCACTCCAGGGGAAGGATACTGCAAAATCCCCATTCCGTCCCCACTCCTGAGGGAAGGATACTGCAAAATCCCCATTCCCTCCCCACTCCAGGGAAAGGATACTGCAAAATCCCCATTCCCACCCCACTCCAGGGAAAGGATACTGCAAAATCCCCATTCCCACCCCACTCCAGGGGAAGGATACTGCAAAATCCCCATTCCGTCCCCACTCCTGAGGGAAGGATACTGCAAAATCCCCATTCCCACCCCACTCCAGGGGAAGGATACTGCAAAATCCCCATTCCGTCCCCACTCCTGAGGGAAGGATACTGCAAAATCCCCATTCCCTCCCCACTCCTGAGGGAAGGATACTGCAAAATCTCCATTCCCACCCCACTCCAGGGGAAGGATACTATAAAATCTCCATTCCCTCCCCACTCCAGGGAAAGGATACTGCAAAATCCCCATTCCCACCCCACTCCAGGGGAAGGATACTATAAAATCTCCATTCCCACCCCACTCCAGGGGAAGGATACTGCAAAATCCCCATTCCCACCCCACTCCAGGAGAAGGATACTGCAAAATCCCCATTCCCACCCCACTCCAGGGGAAGGATACTATAAAATCTCCATTCCCTCCCCACTCCAGGGAAAGGATACTGCAAAATCCCCATTCCCACCCCACTCCAGGGGAAGGATACTATAAAATCTCCATTCCCACCCCACTCCAGGGGAAGGATACTGCAAAATCCCATTCCCACCCCACTCCAGGAGAAGGATACTGCAAAATCTCCATTCCCACCCCACTACAGGGGAAGGATACTGCAAAATCTCCATTCCCACCCCACTCCAGGGGAAGGATACTGCAAAATCCCCATTTCCCCCACTCCTGGGGTCAGCCAGAGATGGCATTTGCCGGTTCTCCAAACTACTCAAAATTTCCGCTACCGGTTCTCCAGAACCTGTCAGAACCTGCTGGATTTCACCCCTGGTTTTTGCTGCTTCCTCCAAACCAGCAGGGCTTCACAGTGTGGTTGCCCCACTTCCCAAATAATAATCATATCGTACTTCTCGGAGTATATGACGCGCTTCCCCCCCCAAAAGAGAGTGGAAATATTGGTGCGTCTTATACACCGAATACAGCCATTTTTCGGCTCCCGAAAATCCCACCCCGCAGGTCCCATTTTTGCCAAAAACAGGTCTGTTTTTGGCAAAAAATGGGGTGTACAGAGGGTTTGGGAGGCCTGCAGAGTGCTTCTGGGAGCTGGGGAGGGCAAAAACGGGACGCATGGGGGGTTTGGGAGACCAAAAATGGGTCTATTTTCCACAAAAAACAGGTGCATTTTTGCCCTCCCCAGACCCCAGGAGCACTCTGCAGGCCTCCCAAGCCCTGTGCGCATCCCATTTTTGCGAAAAACGGGACGCACAAAGGGTTTAAGATGCCTGCAAAGTGCTCCTGGGAGCCGGGGAGGGCAAAAAACTTTTTTTTTCTCGTTTACCTCTTTGAAATCTCAGTGCGTCTTATACTCCGGTGCATCTTACAGACCGAAAAATACAGCGATTAAAAGTGAGCGTGGTGTCTTTGGCCGTGCCGGAGAAAAGGCGAAGTCCGTTCTTTCTGTCAATCTGGACTTCGGTGCTCCAGGGAGCTGGTTGGAGGGTGGGGAGGTTGGGGCTGACACACACACACACACACACACTGTCCTTGCGTCTTACAGCAAGACTGTCGCAGTGGGGCGAGTTGTGCCAAGCATCAAAGTCGAGCAGCTGTTGGAGCTCTTGTTTACCGGCAGCGTCGTGGTACCTGATGTTGACAGATGAGCTCAGGTGGGAACTGGGACTGGTTCGTCACCGGCTGTTCTGCATTGCGGAAACTTTGAGGGGGTTAGAGAACTTCTTGGAACGGCGAGAGACCCACCTCCCTGCTCTGGCCAACCGTCCGAATCTGGTTGCAACTTTCCCAAAGACTACTGGTCTGTGATTGACTCTACCTGTCCAGTTGGATAATGCCGAAAAACAAATTTCCGGGCATTATTTTATTAAGAGTATAAAACTTTACGAATAAACCACATTGACACAGAAGAAGAGAAACCAGCTCTGGGTTTCCCTATGCCAAAGCAAGCATAGTTAATTCCCCCTTTTTCCCTACGGGCCACCCACCATCCATTACATCCATGTTGTTGTGACCTAGGCTTCCTGAGTGAGTAAAACACACGAGTAGTCCCAAAAACCTGTTTTATTTTAACAGCTGTGAATTCTGTTCATTCGCAGATGAGTCCCAAATTAGTTGTAAAGAGTCCTTCGGGATAAGGCTGATAATCACCCACCTTTATCTCCCTTGACACGCTGCCAAAGACCTAATTGGCAAAGCCACAGGGAGTTCAGTATCAAACGGAGCTTCAGGCTTTAAACTGCACAGAATTAACAACGTTGCTTCCTGCAAAGGCCCACGTGCCTTTGCTCCTCTTTTAAGCCTTATGGGAGGGGCCAATCATCTCCCAGCCCTACTCCTAATCGAAGGCCCCTTCCAACTCTGTTTTTCTCTCAAGACCCAACTCACCCAGGTTAGGTGGTGCTCTCCGAGGAGTAGAGAGACTTACAGAAAAATCCCAAATTGGACATGTTAAAAAAACTTCTGTAGGAAAACAGAAGTGGGACGCGGTGGCTCAGTGGCTAAGACGCTGAGC